GTGGATTCCAGATGCATTGTGGGTTTCTCCTGTTTGTCTGGATGTTTCAGGATGAGAACGGCAGGGAGCTGCCCATGGAGGTGGCTGTCATGCTAGAAATGGGGAACCTAAGCAGTGCACTGTGGCAGTCAGCCTTCGTGACCCTGCTGGACTGGTACGATCTGGACGAACACCTGATCATTGTGATGGAAAGGCCCATGCCTTCTGACAACCTGTCAGACTACCTTATGGAGCACAACGGTTGCCTTAAGGACAAGGAGGCAAAGGTAAGCTGCTGGATGAGTTTTAGAGATTTTGTCAAATGTGCTGCTTTCATTGTTTTGTTTTTCACACTTACTTTATTACAGTCAGGGCTATAAAATACAGTACAGAGTGATATCACTCAAGACATGTCACATGTGTTCAGGTTCAATACATTTTATTCACATTTTATATAATACGCCAATACAAAGCACAACATGCCATATTTCAGAAAAAAAATTAATTATGTAATTTTTTTTTTTTTTTTTTTTTGTTTTTTTTTTACAAAAACATTTTCTAAAAACTGTCCAACATTATCTTGGCCATTGCCTTCCTACACTATTCCACTAAAAAACATTGCATTCAGTACAAAAAAGTTTAAAGCAGGGTTGGGGGATAAAACAATAAAATTTGGAAATCTTTCAAGGACAATTTTGGTCCATCACCTGAAAGTGCAAAACATATGGAATACCTGCAAACCTAGTAAGATGTAGGCCTGTCAGTATAGGTCCACCTATACTGACAGGCCTAACAAGATCTGTCAGTTTTTTTCTTCCAGCATGACAGCAACCAAAAGCACACAGCCAGAGTCACCATCCACTCACCAAATGGATAGGAAGGCTAAAATGTGTCTAAAGACACTCTTTATCTTATGACTTACCTTAAGATTTTTCAAAGAAGTTTGACCAAAGCTTTCAGTCGTTATACATGCAAAGTCTAAACTTACCCCAGAAGACTTCCTACTGTAATTGAAGAGATATTGTAGCTCCTAATATCATACATTGAAGTTTGTGTTTGTAACGTAGCTGCATTTGAAAAACGTAAGACAGAGATGGAGACTTTTGCCAGGCAGTACAGTTCTTAACGTCACCTGTATCGCTGCTGTTCTTGACCATGCAATGTTTTTCCTTTAGATCATACTGAAACAGCTAGTGGAAGCAGCGCTCTACCTTCAGAATGCAAACATCTTCCATAGGGACATTAAGGTGGAAAATATCCTGATTGAGACCACTGCAGAAGGCCTACAAGTCTATCTGATAGACTTCGGTTTAAGCTGCTTTGATGACAGAAGAAAACATGAACTACTGTGTGGTACGATTGGACCATAGAACCCGACACTTTCTCATTTATTAATGCTGTTTCGTCTTACTGATTGTCTTATTCTTACACCCCTTCAAGGTACTCCTGAACACCTTCCACTGGACTGGTTCATGCACAAAAACTACTGTGCTGAACCCACGACAGCGTGGCAGTTGGGTGTGGTGCTGTTCGAGGTGGTCCACATGACTCGGTTCAACACCCACAGCTTCCTTTCAAAAAAGCTGAAGATCAGCAAAAAGCTCTCCAAGAGTGAGACAAACTTATCAGCATAGCTCACAGCACCAAAAAACCTGTTCTGTGTCGTTTTGTTTTGTTCCTCTGGCTCTGTTCATTGTTGCTGTTTGACCTCTGACCCTCCAGATTGCCAGGATGTTCTGTCAAAGTGTCTGAGGGTTGACCCTAAGGATCGTCCCACACTGGAACAGTTGCTGAGCCACCCATGGTTTTTGTAGCTTACACACACACACGCACACATACACACACACATATGTTTATGGACACATACATACATCTACTGCATGCTTCACTTTCAAATTTGAACCTTTTTGACGTTGAGGGTGGGCGATATGTCAAGGCTAAACAACAATTCCTTCCTTCCTTCCTTCCTTCCTTCCTTCCTTCCTTCCTTCCTTCCTTCCTTCTTTTCTTTCTTTCTTCCTCCCTCTTTACCTTCCTTTCTTCCTTCCTTCCCTCCCTGCTTCCTTCCATCTTTCCTTCATTCCTTCCTTCCTTGCAGGTTTGAGAGGGGGTCTGGTCCCAGTCTCCAGCAGTATGTATTCTTCTTATGGAAACAATATCCATAAGATTAATTTGTGACTTTTGCTTTTTTTCTGAGTGCTCTTGTTGAAACTAAATCTATAATTTTCATCAGGACATTTACTTTGTGTTTACTTTGGCTTCCTCCTCAATTCTAGAAATCATCCATTCTACAATAGCTTGTGATTTTCTTGGTTTTCTCCGGGTGCACCGGTTTTATCCCCTCTAATCTAAAAAAACTATGCATATTCGGTTACATGAAGCTTGTACATCATGCCTGTGTAAGTTTGTTGTTCTGGGATTGTTCTCCATGGTGCCTTGATTGAGGTCCACATCATATTGGCCATGTTGGCAGGATTGCAACACTCAACACTCTTGCATCTTTTTAACTGTGCTATCTTTTATCAAAGTTCCATACTGGGTTGAAACTGCTTCCAGTCTTGCTGCTTGCATGGTGGGTGGGGAAGGTCATTGGGGGTGGAGGAGGGGTCGACATCAGTCATGTGGAGGTTTTGTTGCTGTTCACTCACCTCTGGTCCAATTGTCTTATGCTAATAAAATGCCATTATGTGAAAGATGTTTAGGTCCTTGTTGCAACACGTCAGGAGTCAAAGCCTGCATGCCCTGTCTGCCGTTTGCAGGTTTCCTAGGTACTGTAGGTCACTCCCATAGTCCAAAAAGTATCTGTGATAGGTTGAGTTAAGTCTTAAATCCTTTCTTCTGTGCACACACACACACACCTACACACACACACACACACACACACACACACGTGTGCGCGCACACACACACATAACACACACACACATAACATGAATGTAGGCACAATATCATTTTTATGCATGTTTCAATATATTCGGATGTACTTAGCTTAATATGTGCATGTATGTTTTTTGATGTATTTGTATGTATATGTGTGTAGGTAAGTGTAATTATCTAGTTCATTGAAATATGTTTTCTGCTTTATCTGTCTTTGTTGTTCCCGTCGTTGCTGTTATTTCCTTGATAACTCTTGTGCCAGCTAACATCATAACTACATCCTCTCAATGTTTTTTTTTTTTCAGACTCCAGATCTTCCTACCCAGTGTTCCTGTGTTTGTCTCTCTTTCCTGTCCTCTCCAACCCCAGCCAGTCGAGGCAGACGGCTGCCCGTCCTGAGCCTGGTTCTGCCAGAGTTTTGTCCTGGTAAAATGGGATTTTCTCTCCACTGTCGCCTCGTGCTTGCTCAGGACGGGGGATTGCATTAAAGTGAAGCTTTGATGCAGTCTGCTGGTTTCCTCCCCTCCGTAGAATCGCCACCTTAACGTGGTGGAGGGGTTTGAGTTACCCCCATGATCCTGAGCTCTGAGTTGCCGGAGTCTTTGACCTTTGGCTTGGCCACCCATGGCGATGTGCCTTCAGAATAGAGGTGGGGGGGGGGTCACCCCAAGAGCGATTCAAATACTTGGATGGAGTAAAGCTGTAGAGGTGAACAACATCTGAAGTCAGTCCCCTCTTGGAAGCAAACCTGGCGAGAGAACCTTAAAGCAACAGTAACCCCCTTCCACATGGATCTACCACAACCAGAAAGGGACATTCAGGTTGGATACCACATCAGCTGAGTATAGCAAAAGGCAACAGATTTAGCTGAATAATTAATGTGTGATGATAAATATCATAACCTCTTATTGTAAATGGAACCTCATAGAGTTTTTATGTTTTTCCTTTCAGTAAGGATTCGGAGGCGCCTGAGAAGGTAACGAGTTACTCCTGATCTAATCCGGGTTCTGAAGACTTGCTCTTCTTCCACCCTCGTTGGTACTGCGGCCAGCTGTTGGGTTCCTTTGGAGTCCAGATGATCCTTCTCACCCGCCTTTCATTTTGTTGATGTTGTTAACGTTAATTTGGTCTCCTTATTGTTTAGTTGTATTTATGTTATTCCAAACTATTAAACACAACTGCAATATCTGTTATTAATAAAGTATATTTTCTTAAGTAAAGCTTATTTAAATTGATTTTGTAGTTATTTTGGGGGGAAATCTTATTTGGGACATTAGCCAATCAATGGCTGGTCTCACTCAAAGCTGGTGTTGTTTTAAAGAACAAAGGTTTTTCTGAAATCTTAGCTTTTGTTTGAGTTTAAGCTCTCACTCCAAGTTTTCCATTTTCTGGTTCACACATTGCTTCAGTCTTAATTTATGAAGTGCTCACCTACAAGCTTGATGCACTCATTATCATGGCGGCTAACCTTGAAGATGTTCTTTTTCTTCTGTGAATTGTTTCCATGTCTTGTTGCTGTGTAATATGCTTTAAGCAGACATGAACCACTTTGTATCCTTGTAATAACTAATTTGTTTAGTTTGTGCATTGTGCTCTTCTTAGTTGAAAGTAAAACTTTAAAGATGATAACATTTAAAATGAATCAGGAGTCCTGAGACAAAGAACGGGGTGACATCATCATAACTCAGTAAAACATGTTGGATCGGGTTGGATCATTTTAAAATATGGCATTAGAAAAGATTGATGGGAATGGCGAAATTAAAAATCACATTTGGAAAACATAATCTTTTACGCTTGCTTGAGGTGGTTTTTGGCTTTTTCTTAAAAAGTTAATGTGCTAATGAAGAGATGGAGAGAAAGAAGTACTGATTATTTACCTCACATGACTGATCATGAATCATTAGAATTGCACTTCTTTCTCTACAACTTCTGACAGCATGTAGCATTGCCACTATTAGTTGACAAGCAGCAGATTCCTGAAAACCTCTCCCCATTTTTCAGAGATGTGGGTTTCATTCTAGTTTGCCACTTCTACTTTCTGTTTGTTACAGTCATGCAGCGTCAATATCTGACAAAGTTACGCTTTTTGAAGTCTGGTTATTTACAACCAGGCCAGTAGAGGAAAACATGACTAATTCTCTTGTTTTGTGACATTTTAAAGGTTTGCTCAAAATCCGCATAAATTGCTTGAAAAAATATTGAATGTTTGATGTGGTCATGGTTGTTAGATCCCAAGACTTTCCTCTGGTTTTTAAAAATTGGTTTTTGGCTCTCTTTTTTTTTTTTTTTTTGCATGTTTTTCTCCCTACGCTTGCAAATTCCAGCACATTACATGGCCTGCAGACAGATGGTCTTTTTAAAAAAATAATCCAGCATAGATCTGAGGTACCTCAGAACTGGTTCTGTTCAGGTGCCTTAAAACTTTGGTGCTTTGAGTGACGACCCCACTTCCAACACTTTGGGGAACCAATCATGTGTCATCAACAGTGTGTGTTGAGCAATGTGGTAGAGGAGTGTAGTACCAAGGTGGTTGACCTTTCTGAGGGGAACGCTTTGCTATTAATTTATTAATTTTACCATCCACAGACCTTATAACTGATCATCATTACAATGTTACTGAACTTAACAGAGAAGTTGATGACTTCATATAGTGGTGCTTACCAGGCGACAGCAGATATGTCTCTGCTTTCCAGCACTCCAGTCGGCCCAAACTGAACTCAGCTGCTGGGTTCCCTCAGCGGATTACACCACATTCTTGACTCTCTAAAACTCCTGGTCCTTCAGCGGGCCACCGCACATTAACCTATCAGATCAAAGATACAGGTGTGAACTGTGAGGCCCAGATGTTGTATAACAGCACCTTTATCCTTAAACCCTATGGAAAGAACAGTAGCAGTTTTAAATTTTAATAAAGCCCTGCATGTGGTTTTATACAGTGGTTCCGTATCTCAGCAGGATTTTGATGACTAACACAGAAGATTTGTACTTCAAACCCTGGTGAAAGGCTTTGCTTCTTCATCTCAGCAACACACTGTTTAAGGTTTACAGAAAATGATCCAGTCACTGGGAACTAGAAAGTTTTGTTTTCACAGACTCACTACCTGAATATGATATATCTGCCTGTGTTTGTATCTCTGTAGGAGCAGTAACATACCACACAGTCACAAGCTGGGTCTGTATTGATCAAATAATTGCTCAATTTGACATTTTGAAAATAAATTCACTTAATAAAAGTACACCAAAAAAACCCTGTTTTTTTTTTCTCAAATATTTGATCAAACATTGAATTTGGTTTGTTTCACAAAATTGCAATGGAAACTCTTTTTTTGTATCACGCAAGTCACATGATCAACAACTGAATGTTACTGCTGGAGGAAACCACAAAGAACAACAGGAAGTAGGTGGAGGATGATGTGCAGCATGTTTTTAATCACTTATCAAATAAATAAACTAATTTATGTGATTTTAATTGTATTTATCAAATAACGGAAAGATGGCAATAAAGAAATTGTGGTTGTTGTTTTTTTTTTTACATTAAAGTTTTGTGCATATTTGCAATGGAAACAGCTTGTGTGTGATCAGTGGAAGAGATGGTTTGAATTTCCTCTTTCTCTCTCTGCTCTGCATCCATGAAGCTTCATTTTCAAATTCACTGGAATTTGGAGTTTCAGTTCAGTTAATAAGGCTTTGACATGCTAATTGGCCGGAGCAATTCTATGCATCATGTAATACAGAAAACGCAATAAAAAAACAAACACGAGGCTTCGGGATGGTCTGGATTATCTGTGGTTGAAGAATCATGATTTTACCCAATCGCTAACATTTGGCTGTAATATGGCATCTGGCATCAGATGCCATATTACAGCTACCTACAGGGTAGCCCTGCTACCCTGTAGGTAGCAGGGCTACAACATCTTTACCAGCAATAGAAGGACTTAAATATTCCCCACGCTCTGACTTTAATTGATCAATATTTGGAAGCGTGATCAACACGGACTGAACGGGTTTGTTCATCTCCTCCACTGCCATCACTAAAACTACAGACATACTTCTATTCTAAAACAGAGCAGAAACAAAAGTCATCATTCACAACCTAACTTAAATAATCCAGTCAAAAACTGTAACCTACCTAAAACCTGTTACTGGTAGGTTTTAGGCATATACAGGACTGGCATAACTCCAGAGAGTAGCATTTAAGATGTTTATTTTCTGCCATTTTTCAGCTTTCTTTTCTACAGACGGGCTCTTTGTTTCAGGGAGAGCTCAGGGCAACATAACAAACAAAACCACCCTGAAATAATTTATTCTTTTTTAACATATCAAATTCCAAGAAAACCAAAATATAAAAACCAACCCCCCAACCAATGCAAAAATGCCCTACCCCCCCGAAAAGGAAAAAAAAAAAAAACAGCAGCTCTCCCCTTAAAAGCCAGCCTGACCAAAAGGTTACATTGCAAAACATACAAAAGGGCAGTTAAGCCTTCATATACAGATATAGTATATCACAGTCAATTAGTCAAAAGTGCAGCTTTGCAGAAGGACACTGCTAATTAATTGATTATCTTGACACCTTGAAAGCAGCACCCAATCAACTCTCAAAGAGGAGGACGTTCCTGAAACAGAGCAGAGGACATTACTTCCATACTGGGGTTGTGTGACCTTGTCATTTCCTGGATTCTCCCAGTTCCTCACAGTCCCCATGATGCTGATTATTCAATCCTGCAAGGTCTTTTTACAGTATGCCACATTTTGTTTGGTCAAAGTGGGACTCAGGCTTTTCATAACAGCAGCTCTGACAAAGCAGGCAGCTTGACTGACATGTCAGCTACCAGCAGCAGAAGGCCTGCATATGGATGGATCACTCTTAACTGTGAGTGTCTGACAGGCCGGCTGACAGCTACCTCTGATGTATTCAAGCAGCGCTGCCCCGTTACTAAAGCTGACACACATTCCTCAAAGCTTGTTTCTGTGTTTAAGGGCCAAATTGATTACAGTCATTCAAGTTTGCTCTTTTTCTTGTCCTTGAGGAGCAGCGTGTGTGGCGATGAGAAGCACCAGCACCGCAAAGGAATACACTTCCTGTTTGCATGTCGGCTTGGAGTTGTCTATATGTTCTCCTCCACCCTGCAACAGTTTTTACAGCTACTGCTGCTTCCTTGTGCTGTCTAAAACAGGCATTAAACATATGGAAGCCCATAATATTCTCTTCATGTTAACATGTCTACACATTAATGTCGGATTTCATTTTTGTTCGTTTTGCCGATATCTAGAAACGAATACTTGATACCCCCACTAAAGAACTCTTATAACTGCCTGTTTTAATTGTTCAAACACAAAATTAAACCCTTCCAGACTGAACATAGCACTGACGATCCAGTCAAATTTGCAGCACCGTAATTCCGCCACACCTTGCATTATTTGAAAAATTCCAACGGTTTCTGCAAGGGGAGACGTTGCGCTTTTCAACCAGTATAGAGTTATTACAGTAATTTCACCCCCACCGTAGCAGGGAGTGAAATTAATCTGAGGGGTATGATTTTAATAAACGGTAAATTGTGAAAATACCTTGATAGATATTGAAAGTTCCATGTATAAATGGGTGAATATATATTAAAGAACTGCGTACAATTAAAATAAGCAAAAATAGACATTTGAAACTTAGGTTATAAAGGGTTAATGTGCATTGATACATACAGTTCAAATGTTTTTTGCATTAAATACTTCTCACAACCCGGTAGGTGATCCACTAAACTGAGCTTATAATTTACAAATTTAGCATATAATATTGTTTTAGATGATTGTTTGCCAGATCACTTCCTGACAAAACCCATTCACGGCTTCTCTCAATCGTTACTGCCTTCTTCTCAGTCCATCCAAAGCTGCAGTGATTACCCCACACTGAAAACCGGCGAAGCGCCGTATTTGACTTTCTCCTGCGTTGTGTCTGAGAGACTCTGGATTTCACACCAGTGTACATGTCTGCGGAGGGAAGGATGTATATTCATTCGTGCGTCGCCGATTCTGGCAGGCAAAAGGAGAAAAGGAAGATGGAGAGACAGAATTAGGCCAGTTACTGGCAGAGCGCCCCGCAGCCTCAGTCAGAGAGGCTGGGTGCCTGAGGAGGGACCCGAGGCCCCCCCGGCAAACCCTGACATCATCAGCTCCCATTCTTCACGTCTACTGAGACACAGTCATGCAGATACTATATTTATGCTGCCGCTAACATGCTGCAGC